TCCCATGACTTCCCATCTCCAGCTGAATAAAATCCAATCTGCTTAGCATGTTGGTTAAGGCCCTTCATAAGCTGGCTCTAAGCCACCACTCTAGGCTTGCTCCACTCTCCACTAAATGGACTTCAGCCTCTTCACAGGCTCTGCTTTCCTGAGTCACACACAGGACCGCTCCTTCACTCTGCCACCTATCTGCTACTGGCCACTATGCCTGACAGGCAAACACACAAACATCTCTCAGTATTTACCTCTCTATCCTATGAAGTATATCTTAACTTCTGTACCTTGGCAGCGTTGTTATCCCAACCTCAGTGCTTTCCAAACAACTTGTCCCTTTTCTTATTAAAATTCATGCTCTTTTCCCTCGATTTTTGACTGTGCTGCATGGCATGCAGGGTTTTACCCTGATCAGGGATTGAACCCTGTGCCACCTACAGTGGGGGTGCAGTCTTATCCGCTGGACCGCCAGGGAAATCCCATTAATGCCCTTTTATATGAGGTCTCCCTCTGGACTGAGCTTCTCAATTATCCAGACATCTCTTTCATCCTCCATCGCCTAGCGCCCTGCACAACCCTGCACGGTGCCTGGTATATATAATGTTTGTTGAATCACAAAAAAACTAAATAAGCACATGAAATTCAAAAGAAGTTTTAAGCCCTTAAATTGGGATATTAATATTAAAAAAAAAAAACAAAAACAACTGGGCTACACACAGGGAAAGTGTTCAAATACGTCAAAAATCTAAGGCAGAGAGAGGAAACAGGTGGGTACGGAATTGACCCGGGTGGAACGTAAAATGAGTTCTTGTTTGTTTTCTCAGATCAGACTTGAAATTATGCTCAACAACCTAACTCTCTGTATTCGTGACCACCATCTTGCACCAGCACAGCATTGCTCCTGAGAAGAAAATCTGCCCCTGAAATTCTTGCCCCTGAAAACGCATTTCAAAAGCTTGAAATGCGTTAATGTGGTGGCTGCAGGTGTTGCTCTTCCCAGCAGAGGGCGCAGAGCCCCCAACACCGAGTAAGGCGGGTCAAGGAAGACCGCGGGGCGGGGGTGAAGTTGTTCAAGGAACCACAGCCTCCAAATCCGGGTCAACGCGCTGACCTCCTGTCCTCGCCTGCTCCCCGGCACTCTGTTCTATTCTTCCCACTCACAATGAGGTGTTAGTGAACTTCCAGATCTCAAGAACACCAGTTTTGCAGCAAATGGGAAGAGGGCAAAGGGGAGGCTGTTCACTGAGGGGTGTGATAATTTCTCGGAAAAGGAAACTTTAACTCACTCCTACTGAGCATCATGGCTTACAGAAAGCATCCCAAACTGGTTCTATCGTACAATCTGATTCCTTTCCTTTGAAAGTGGATAGGGTATTCAAAATGCCCCTCCCTCAACTGGAAGAAAAATGATTTTCTGCCCTTAATGATTTGCATAGATATTTTAGGCTTCAGAGGGTTACACTAAGGTCATCAAGCTATTAAAAAGATGAATGGGGGTAAACTCCTTCCCTTGAATATATATTTACATTTTATGAGGGGTAACTAGTGGTAAAGGAGGGGGAAAAAATGCCATCCTCTCACATTCTAAAGACAGATGCTTCTAGTGTCCAACTTCAGAGTAAGGGCCAGTGATCTGGGAAGACAAACTGAAAATTAATAATAAACCAGATTCAAGTCACTCTCAAGGAAGCCACAACCATCCCCTCTGTGCTTTGTTTGAGGAGAACAGAGAAACATCACAGTCCTTATGGGGAGCTCGTTTGTCTCTTAACCCAAAAACCTGTTGAGAGGAGGCAGATAGAAAAAGCAACTTGTTCACACCCAGAAAGGGCACACAGAGTATTGTCTTATCCCTTCAAAATACACCTCAGGAAGACAGGAGACATCTTCATGGAATCTTGTCCCTGCATCGAGGAGGCCCTGTTCTCTCCTGTGCAAGGCTCTAGAAAGCAGAATGGTGACTGACTGATAGAAGTCTGTGGGTGCTTCTAGTTCCCTGGAGAAGAGAGTAGAGATCTGGGGAGTGGTGAAGGACCACCATTTATACAAACTGCAAGTCTTAGAACCATCTGAACTCAGAATAAAACCTCAAAAAAAAAAAAAGAATAAAACCTCAAGTGAACCAACTTGCAATTCTACTTTTCAGTATAAAAGCCTGGTGTAACTCACTGTAAATCATGCTAAGCAGTATGGTTTTATCTTGATATCTTAAGAAGCCACTGAAGAATTTTAAACAGGAAGTGACATGATTAGGTTTGCATGTTGGGATGATCACTCTAGAAACAGCGGACAGTGGACAAGCTTATACATATCAAATGTGAAATGTTAGATCAGATGTCATGCTTATTAATTAGCATAAGGCATAGCAAGACCATGAGTTGAATTTTGAAAAATAGGACATACTAAATGAGACTGGGATGTTTCTTCCATTTCTAGCCTACTTATCTTGCCCTAGACCCAAGTTCCCATGCCTTGCACAGGCTTAAGGGCCATCATTTATACAGACTGCAAGTCCTAGAACCATGTAAACTCAGAATAAAATCTCACGTGAACTGACTTGCAATCCTACTTTTCAATATAGAAGTATCATTTGTTATACAGGAACTTAATTTAATCTCACAAATATTTTTGGATGAGCTACTTGTTGAAACCACCACACAAGATTCTGCTAGGAATTCTGAAATGAATAAAATGCAATCTCTGTCTTCTAGAAACTCATAGACTAACTCAAATCAAGTAAAAAGGAAAATACTTCTTTTCTAATGGGTTATATTGGACAAATAAAAATAATAACAAAAGTACTTTTTAAATTATGTATTTGGATGGTGTAGTGGTAAAGAAACTGCCTGCCAATGCAGGAGACCTAAGTGACGTGGGTTCTATCCCTGGGGTGGGGAGATCCCCTAAAGAAGAAAATGGCAACCCACTCCAGTATTCTTGCCTGGCAAATTCCAGGGACAGAGGAATCTGGCAGGCTACAGTCCATGGGTCACAACTGAGATGTGGGCACAACTGAGTGAGTAATACTTTCACACTTTCTGAGTAAATATATACCCATAGCTTAAGGGTAGACCTATAATTAAATCCTGTATTATAACAGACAAGACTGGGGGAGAAAGGAACACTACTTCACTCAATGAAGTTGAGCTGCGATTATCTAAAGGTGAACCCAGGCTTAAAATCCTCAGTATTGCTGTATGAAGAGGTCTATGAAATAAATTAACATTTTTAGTTCCAGTGCAAAATTGAAATAGTTTGTTTATAAAAGGCTGAAGGATGTATTTCTAATTTAATATGCTAGATGTTTTAAATGAAAACTTTTGGGCAAAGGGCAATTTTGGATTTTTAAATACACTTTGAATTTGGCCATTTGAACGCTTATATCTTATCTTGAAGGATATTTTACAGGTTTGGGCTTTCTTCGGCAGAGGGGCCACCATTCAATACTGGAAGGGAAAAGAGTGAAGTTACTGTGATCCTCCACATCATGGAATTTTGTGTTAATGAACCACAATGTGAAGCCAAGGTGTTGTGTGGTTAACATCATTATTTCCAAAACAGACTCAAACCCTACAGAAAAATGCTTCAAAGCAGTATAATTTTGTCACTCAGAAATCCACTGTACTAACACCACATAGATTTGTGGCAAAGACATATGTCCTCGGTGGTGCCAGTCACAAGGGCAGCCCAGTGTCCACCGGCCCACAGTTTCTCCCTGCGATTCCTAACCAAATGAGTTAGGAGCTTCAGTCAGCACAACGTAGAAGATAAACTTGAATAACAAGGAAATTTTAGAGTGCACCTCCAGAGGTAACACACTGCATATTTCCAGTTTCTGCAATTATTACCCTGAACGCTATTTGCTTCTTTTCATATCATCCAAGGTCAGGATCCTTAATATGGGCTTGGATTTGTTTGTTCCTCTACTATCATGAGCAGTTCTGAATTTCATGTAAATATGTCACCTAAAAAACACAGCCCCTTTCTCCTCTTCTATACTAGAATTGGCTTCAGATTCACAGAATTTCATGTATGTTGCTATACTAAAATGACAGTGATACATGCTGTTTCAACTAAGAAATACTGGAACAGAGTATTGAACCTAAGTCCTAAAAAAAATGTACTTAAATACTATGTATATCAAAGTAAAGATGGATCTTTTTTTTCCAGGTCAAGACAGCACTTAATTCAACCTTTTAATCTGTCTTTAATCAGAGAATTTTGAGCTCCATCCTCACTCCATGGGCATACCTTTAAACATATGAACACTTATTTAATTTGAACCTAATCCACAAAACTTAGGAGGAAAAACATCTATACCTTGATTCTTTAGAAATTCTGAATGTGTATGTCTCTTGACAAAGAAAAGAAAAGTGAACTTATTTACAAAACAGAAACAGACTCACAGACATAGAAAACAAAATTATGGTGACCAAAGGGGAAAGTGCTGCTGTTACTGCTAAATCGCTTCAGTCGTGTCTGACTCTGTGCAACCCCATAGAGGGCAGCCCACCAGGCTCCCCCATCCCTGGGATTCTCAAGGCGAGAACACTGGAGTGGGTTTCCATTTCTTCTTCAATGCATGAAAGTAAAAAGTGAAAATGAAGGGGGAAAGTGAGGGAAGAAAAAATTAGCAGTTTGACGTTAGCAGATACAAACTACTGTATATAAAACAGATAAACAACAAAGTCCTAATAGATAGCACAGGGGACTATATTTAATATCCTGTAATAAACCATAATGGGAAAGAACACAAAAAAGTATATATATATATATATATATATAAAACAGAATCACTTTGCTGTATATCAGAAACTAAAACATTATAAATCAACTATACTTCAATTTAAAAGAAAAGAAAGGGGGAAAAAAGGACTGCTTAAGAATGGGACTCTAGAAATCTGGAATTATACTAGTGAACAGAGACATTATAATCTATCATGTATTATCCACAAGCTGGTAAGCCTAGGGAAACTTGACTTTAGAAATGAAAAACAATTGGGTTTTGTTTCTAGAAGGGACAAGACAATCTTGAAAAAAAATCAGATGGAGAGTTTGGGGGAAAGAGAAAGAAGACTTGCAATCAATAAGATTACTTGTATTACTTAGAATCATGCTTATACAGGAAATCTTGTAAAACAAACCCATCTGGCAGGGAACTGAGCCTTCTGAGGGGACTGGCTTTGGTGCTGAAGTTAATATGACCCCCAAAGCAAAAGCAAGTAAACCACTGCAATTTGGTGTAAACAGCATAGCTATCATCTAACCTCCCACGCTTCATTTCCTCAACTTTAAATAAAGACATTCCTAAATCTCCAATTTATAGTCAACAATCTAATTTCCTAATTAATGAGAATGCACAAGCTACCCACAAACTTCTCAGAAAATTCCCCCGACGCTGTGGCATCCTGTAATGAGGATAACAAGGGGTGGCAGGCAACTCTTAAGCACCAGCTTCTGAGGCTTCCCTGAAAGTGCTGGTTTCAACCTCCTTTTCTTGCATCTGACCACAAACCAGGGCAGCTTCCTGTGGCATCTGAAATGGGGAGCAGGAAACAGAGACAGCATTTTGTCCAGAAGGAAGTGAGGAGGAAGGTGAGCCAGTTAGGTGTCTCTTATGATTCCATCTCTACAGCCACCATCATGTTTAGAATTGTGGTTGGGAAAGGATAAAATCTTAGAGATAATAGAGATGATGATCTCTTTAGAAATCACTACTCCTTTGCTAGTATTTTGAAAGTCCAGTATTCTCCCTCCCTCCAACTCAGATTAAAGGAAATACTTTCAGTTCTATTGGGTTGGCCAAAAAGTTCACTTAGGCTTTTCTGCAACTATCTCATGGAGTGGAAAAACTCAAACAAATTTTTTGGCCAACTCAATAGAAGTCAGGGATCACATGTGAAAGTTTTGGAAACTGGTACCCTATATACAATAATGCTGGGTTTGGCATGGTGGTTATCATCTACTGGACAAAGTTACCATCTTACATCACCTTTTTTTTTTACCACCTTCTTTTCCAAATAATATCATATGTATTTCTTACTTTCTGCACATCCCAATAAGCTCCTTTCCAAATAGATGTCTCATTAGATTCCCACCTGCTCTGGCCACTCTGGGTTCACTATTTCCCTAACACTTTCATGTCTATAAGGACAGTCCCAAAACACTGATCAGAGATTTGTTCATGAGATTTATCATTTTTCCTATATACAATTCTATTGAGCATTTTATTTCTAACTTTTTAAAATTTTTATTAACTTTGTCATAATATAAACATAATTATGATATCATTTAATAAGTGTAAGTAAAATTTCCCTTTAGTTAATCTGCCATTTTACTTGTTGGATGATATTTAATAATGATTTCTTTTGTTTGTGCATATTTATGAGATGAGGAAGAACTTTGTATATCATCATTGGTGAGCTTTAACCAGAATTAGAATTTTAAAACTGAGGGCTAAAATAATCTTTACAAATCGTATCATTCAGTAAGTGAAGAACCGAAAGCCTACAGCCGCATTGTGTATAAGGAATTACTAGCTGTGAAGTACCTGAAATACAGCTAGTCCAAACTGAAATGTGTCTCAAGCTTAAAATACATGTTGAACAGCATCAGAATCACTAATGGTGACGTCTGCTTTGGCCATTGAGGAGAGAAATGTACCTGTAAGTAAAAGGGGAGTAGCTTGTCAGACTCAGGAGCCATTCTCGAAGCAGTGTCTGCCGGAGTAATTATAACCAAGCAGGATCCTGTGGAGACCTCCACCAAAATACTGATTAACTTCTCTGTTTCAACCTTTATTCCTTTTCTTGTTCAAAACTTGTTCTCCTCAGGATGGAAGAGTACCAAAAAAAGGAGAGGAATTGTAACCAAGCAGGACCCTGTGAGGCCTTTCCAGGACAGGCCATCCCTCATATCTGCTTTAGCTCCTCTCTGAAGTACCGAGATAACAGTATTTAATGTAAATTTTCCTATCATTTTGCATATGTGCAAACCCTGAAACAAATGGAAGAACTACCTGATGACCAAGAGCACACAGCCCCAGGCCTCCTGGAGCCTAAGGACTGATCATGTTAACTGCAGGGACACAATCCTGATGCCTGTTAACCTGTGACACCACCCTGCTGCCTCACCATCAGCCACAGAATTGCACACAAGCCCATCACATATCCTGCAAATCATCTTCCCTCACCTGCCCTTTAAAAATGCGTTCCAGAAATCCTTCGATGAGCATGAGGCTTTTCAGGGCATGAGCCACCTTTTCTTCTTTCATGGTCCTGCAATAATAAACATTTCTCTCCTCCAAACTCAAAAAACTCATCTTAGCTGACATAAACCTACAGTATCAATACAGTTAAGTAGTGTAAATGTATTTGCTCTTCCTTGTGATTTTCTTAATACCATTTTATTTTCTCTAACTTACTTTATTTTAAAATACAGTATATAATAGATATATAAAATATATGTTAATTAGCTAGTTTGTTATCAGTAAGGCTTCCATTCAACAAAAGGCCATTAGTAGTTAAATTTTGGGGGGCAGGGTCAAAAGTTACAGGTAGATTTTGGACCTCATGGGATATTCACACCCCTAACACTCATGTTGTTCAAGGTCAACTGTGAGTTCTGCAGTTCAGCTACCCTGTCACACTTTGAGCAACAGCTGAGGATATGAGTGTGAATTTAAATAGCCGATATCTTGACATGTAGCACTATTTAGACCTATGCAGAGATCTGGATCAGCAAGGGCAGTTTCACTCTAGTGGACAAAAAACCACCTGTCTGTAAGAAACCATGGCAGAGATAGAGAAAAGGCAGTCATGGACTGGTAAGACTTCAGTCGTTTTTTTCTGAGCTTTTTGGATAAAATAAAGCACAGAATTTTGGAGGACTAGTTGATGGAGAAGAGAGATGATTATCCTTATCCCAAAGATTAATTGGAAAAATAAGGAAAGTATTTTCATCAGTTAGGATAAGCTAGATTATGCTACAGTCAGTTCAGTCACTCAGTCATGTCTGACTCTTTGCAACCCCAAGGACTGCAGCATGCCAGGCTTCCTTGTCCATCACCAACTCTCAGAGCCTACTCAAACTAAGTCCATCGAGTTGGTGATGCCATCCAAACATTTTATCCTGTTTTCTCCTTCTCCTCCTGCCTTCAATCTTTCCCAGCATCAGGGAACAGAAACAAATCCAAATGTAAATGGCTTAAAACAACCAAGATTCATTTCTTTCCCAAGCCAAACGACAACTTTGGGTCCATAGTGGACTCTGCTCTGTTTAATCACTCAGAGACTCAAGCTGACAGAGAAGCATCATCGCAAGCATGTACCAGTCCACTGCGCAAAGAGGTGAGTACTCTGTAGGGTCTCCGACTGCATATTAAACACTTTGTCCTAAGAATGGCATACCCTCTGTTCACATTTTGCCCAGATCAAGTCACATGGTCCCATTCCCACTATAAGAAAGCCAGGAAGTACAATTCTATCATGTTACCAGGAGGCAGGAAGCTGAGAATATTGGGTAAACAGCACTGCTGACTACCACATGACCTTATTTGCACACCAAGCTTATAAAGTAGATCACACTTGTTATAATAAATTGAACTATATCTTACTGAAACAGATCTGATGAAAAACAGTTTTTTTACTGAAACAAGTCTGATGAAAAATAAAGGTCGATTAGAATCATAAAAAGATATGAGATATTTCCTCACCTTCTACCTACCTGCTGTTTAACTTAAAACAGTCTCAAAGGTCATATGCTTCAGTTTTTCTATCCAGAAATGGGTGGCATTAATTCATCCAACTATCAAATATTCATTTAACATCCATTGAATATAGGCACTTGGCCACAGTGGTAATATAGAGATTAAAAGGAAAAACTGCATGATCCTTGACCTCATGAATTTTATAACCTATTTATCACTAGTGATAAAAATTTATTCTATAATGGAACATGGTAATATAGATATGGATAAACATCATGTGAAAATTACTAAGACTTTCACTAACCTGTTCAATGCACTGATATATAAGCCCCTATATTAGGGAGGAAAGGGAGAGGAGAACTAAATGAACACTTTAATACCTAAATATAATAGACTGAGAGAAGATCTCACCCATCCTTGAATACTGGACCTCAATCAGGCAATGAAATATATGTTCAAGTATTAAAAAACAGGTAAAATCGAAGCTGTCAGCATAGAGTCCATTCACAGAAGTGAAGCTTTATGTTTTCTTAACTAGCCCATATGACCTTAAAAATTCTCCTTTGACTTCCTAAGTATTTGACTTAGAATACTTTGTACATATTTAAATAATCCAATTTCCTAAACAACTATGAAAACTTACATTGGCAGCTACAACATGCAACATGACCAAAATGTTCTTTATATATTCACAAAAGCAGTTGGCGAACTTCATCTGTGCCTCTGTGGCCCTTTCAACGTCAGTAAGATTTAAACGTGGCTTCCAAGGATATGGTAGACTCACAATGCCTACTGTAGTTTTATTTTTTAGCTATTTTTATTGGAAAGAGTGAGTAAACTATTAAAAATACAAAGGATCCCTTTAAAGCTACAAAGGAAATGTGCAAAAAGCCATGAAAAGAATAAGAAATGATTTATAAATTGAACAGTTTGTTTTATTAACAATAACAAGTAAGTCACATAGTTTGTAAGTCCTCCCAGATGAGACATCTGTGGGATTCTCTGGTCTGAAAAAGAACTCCATCTTATAAACATGTCAGTCATGTTGAGAATAAAAGGAAGATTTCACACTACATGCAAATGTGACTATTAGCCCTTAAACATGTCCAGGATTTAGTGTTATTTTAAGCTATTTTTCTTCCAATTATGGGTCCTATTTAGGACATTTTCCCACCAACTTTAGGCAGGGGAAAGGTACCAGTAACTGCTTTTGTTGAATATAAATTGTTTCAGTTCAGTTCAGTTCGGTTCAGTCGCTCAGTCGTGTCTGACTCTTGGTGACCCTGTGAAGCGCAGCACGCCAGGCCTCTCTGTCCATCACCAATTCCTGGAGTTTACTCAAACTCATGTCCATCGAGTTGGTGATGCCATTCAGCCATCTTATCCTCTGTCGTTCCCTTCTCCTCCTGCCCCCAATCCCTCCCAGCATCAGGGTTTTTTCAAATGAGTCAGCTCTTCCCATCAGGTAGCCGAAGTATTGGAGTTTCAGCTTCAGCATCAGTCCTTCCAATGAACACCCAGGACTGATCTGCTTTAGGATGGACTGGTTGGATCTCCTTTCAGTCCAAGGGACTCTCACGAGTCTTCTCTAACACCACAGTTCAAAAGCATCAATTCTTTGGCGCTCAGCTTTCTTTATAGTCCAACTCTCACATCCATACATGACCACTGGAAAAACCATAGCCTTGACTAGACGGAGCAAAGTAATGTCTCTGCTTTTTAACATGTTGTCTAGGTTGGTCATAACTTTCCTTCCAAGAAGTAAGCGTCTTTTTATTTCATGGCTGCAATCACCATCTGCAGTGATTTTGGAGCCCAAAAAAATAAAGTCTGACACTGTTTCCACTGTTTCCCCATCTATTTCCCACGAAGTGATGGGACCAGATGCCATGATCTTAGTTTTCTGAATGTTGAGCTTTAAGCCAACTTTTTCACTCTCCTCTTTCACTCTCATGAAGAGGCTTTAAGCTACTAAATTTAAGATGATAGGTTATCAACCATTGAAACAAAGTCAGATCCTACCCAGCTCACAAGTATAAACATTCACAGGTATAAGTAAGTATAAATATTAAAATGTTTCAAACTTTGTTAGTATTTTTGCCTGGAAAATTCCATGGATGGAGGAGCCTGACAGGCTACCGTCCATGGGGTCGCAAAGAATCGGACACAACTGAGCGACTTCACTCACTCACTTTTGTTAGTAACATCTGTCTCTACATCCTGGCTTCCACATTTCATGCTTAATAAGTTGTGGTAGCTGAGTGATTCGGAAGAAGAGGGTGGTGATACAGCTGTAGCTCGTTCAACATTTTCAACATTAAGTTGAAAATTTATTGTATTCTTCTTTTTATGGCAAAAAAGAAAAAGTAGAGGGTGTATCTAGTAGCCCACTGAGATACACAGCATGGAGTTGCTGAAAGTTTCTAAAGTGTCTCTATTCCCATGCCCCTGTCCAAGAAGTTCTGTGAGGACTTGGCCTCTGACTCTTTTTAATTTCTATTGGACTGTAGTTGGTTTACAATGTTGTGTTAGTTTCAAGTGTACAGCAAAGTGAATCAGGCACATATATATATATATCTCCACTCTTTTTAAGATTCTTTCCCCATATTGGTCATTACAGAGTACTGAGAAGAGTTCTCTGTGCTATAAAGTAGGCCCTTATTAGTCATCTGTTTTACACACAGTAGTGTGCATATGGAGGGCTTCCCAGGCGGTGCTAGTAGTAAAGAACCTGCCTGCCAGTGCAGGAAATGTAAGAGACTCAGGATCTATCCCTGTCAGGAAGCTCCCCTGCAGGAGGGCATGGAAACCCACTCCAGTATTCTTGCCTGAAGAATCCCATGGACAGAGGAGCCTGGTGGGCTACAGTCCATAGGGTCGCAAAGAATTGGACATGGCTGAAACGACTAAGCATAGCACAGCACAGGCCAATACAGTCTGTATATGTCTTCTGCCT